CCTTTGAGTTTATTAAGTTTACAAAATATATCAAATTATTTATCATATAATACAGAATCCTTACGTGTTTTGTCCAATATAGAACCTTTTGCTTTTATCTTCTCTACTTACCATATGGAAGAATTATTTACATGTATAATAAAAAAAGTTTTTAAATGAGCAAAATAATTCTTCGATAAAATATTCTTTTGTTCTACTATTTTTTAATATGATGTAAATATGAATTTCGAATATGGAATTTTCTCATCGGTAAAAAGTCTCTATATTGACCGTTCTACATTATCATAGGTGTGCTATCATTAATCCCTGAATGCGAAAGCAAAGTGGGGAAACCCGTTTTTCTTGTGAATAAAGGATGGAGCAACATTGGTTTACTAGGTACTTGTTATATTCACCGGTTGTTTGTACTGCTGTATGAGCTAAAGCATATAGTGTAGAATAATGTACCGTATTAATCGCAAATGACAATTTGACGGTGTGCATGTGACGTCGATACTTTTTACTGTATCGTATAATGTATGTCTAACGATTTTATTATAAAAAAAGAAATGGATACGGTGCACTTCTCAATGATAAAAGTATGTTATAATGAATACATAGCGTGAAATATAAATGACTTTGGTAGTCGTAAAAGTAAATGTGAAATGTGATTACAAATAGCCTTCTGTTAATTTGTGTTCAGATTTTTTAGTTGTATTTGTTATTATTTAATATCTTATTATTTCTCAACAATATTTATAATTAGTTCATTTTTTATTTATTTCCAAATGTTAAAACAATTGATCTTGAAAATGATAAATTTCTTATATAGTCTATTTGTATTCTCTATTTAAAGTTATGTAAATTATATTATGAAGTATAAAAAGAATACATGTTATGATAATTTATATAGCAAATTTATTAAATAATAATTTAAAAATGTTTATGTAAAGATTGTGTATAACTTATTCACAAATGTTTTTATTTCAGCAAAAATGTCAGAATTAATGGATAATTCTGCAGAAAAGATAGATGTAATTCTTCCTAGGCAAAGTTTGCTATACCAGGAAGAAAATTTGGATTATATTCTTTGTAAACCTAAATTAATTCCATTAAAATCAGTTACTTTAGAAAAATTAGAAAAAATGCAAAAGGATGCAGAGTTAAAGATTCGGGAAGCGATAGAAAATAATAATGCAAATGATAATGAGTAAGCTTCAAAAACTAAAGATAAAAAATACAAAAACAATTGTAGAGTTATGGTGAAATAAAATTAAAAGTTGCCAAAATGGTTCTTGGAGCTTTTTTGACAGAAATTGTGGTAGCATTTTGTCTTGCTGCCACTTTATTATATAAATATGGGAATATTTTTCGACATCATATTATTGTTACAATTTCTGTGCTCATTGCATGGTACTTTTCATTGCTGATAATATTTATCTTACCCTTAGATGTTTCCTCTGTAAGTGATTTCAGCAACATCAAAATAATGGATATCATGTCATATTATATTAACATTCATATTATGAGCCAATTTCAAATTAATATTATCTTTTTACAGACTGTTTACAGACAATGTGTTGAACAAAATATTCATAATAGCACAAAAATAAATTCCGATAGTACAACAACTGTTCCATTTCATATTTGTAAGGAACCTTGGCCTAATGTACCAGAACATATATTTCCCAATTTATGGAGAATTGTATATTGGACTTCACAGTGTTTAACTTGGTTGATATTGCCACTTATGCAGTCTTACATAAAAGCAGGAGATTTTACTGTTCAAGGGAAATTAAAATCTGCTTTGATAGATAATGCTATATATTATGGGAGTTATTTGTTCATATGTGGTATCCTTTTAATATATATAGCACTAAAACCTGGTTTTGATCTTGATGGGTAAGTAAATTATATTAGTATAACAAACATCAAAATATATTACATATTTATATATGTAATATTTTAGTCAAAAATTGAAAGCTATAGCATCATCTGCGTCAAATACATGGGGTTTGTTTTTATTGGTATTACTTCTCGGATATGCACTTGTAGAAGTTCCTCGTGGATTATGGAATGCTAGTAAACCTGGATACACTTTAAATTATAGTTATTTTAAGGTTGCTAAATTAAGTTTAGATAAATGTGAAGCAGAAGAAACAGTAGATGATATACTTGAGGTAATTAAATATTTTATATGATTTACAATTTTATTATTATCTTGTATTTATTTGATTTTTTAGTCTCTACAAGCTGCTACAGTATCTATTGGGCCAGGGCATCCTTTTCATTGTAATTTAGAAACAATTTTCCAAAAGATTCCTGCAGAATTAAAAGATAGGATGAACAGAAGACAATTACCAGATGATACACCAACAGATACACCATCTGAAAAAGCTTTAATTCGTCTACATAGACAAGTTTGTTATTAATTAAATATATTATATACATGTAATGTGTAAATATATATATATATAAATATGATAATCTATCCTTTTTTTGTTAGACTATAAAAGCATTGCAAACTTTACAACGTATAGAAACTCAATGGGGAATTTTGGTTGATAAAATAATTAATTTGGAAGATATAGCAAAGAATCAAATAAGTGATGATAAAAGGTTTAAATCAACTTTTCCCACACATCGTTCATTTCCATTTCGTATTGTTTACAACCCAGTTATTGGTAAGCTTTGAATTTTACTTGCAAAAATATATAGCTTTTTGTAGTTTTCATAAGTATTCTAAAACTTTCAGAGTGGTATTGGAAATGTGTCATAAAGAGTTATGTACAAAAAGTTGTAGCTATTTGTACAGGTTGTCTTTCAATAGCTGTAGTATGGTCAGAAGTAACATTTTTTAATAAATCTCCTGTGTTATCATTATTTGCCCAATTTTTGAATCTAGCTAAGGAAAATTATGATTATTTTACAATAGAGGTAAGAGTATCTGAATTGTATATTAGGAAATAAACTTTTGTTTTAGAATTAAAAATTAAAATTAACAAAAATGTTAATATACTTTGTATAGGTATTATCAATGCTGATAATTGCATACCTTTGTTACTGTGCTTATTCAACTGTTTTAAAAATTCGAGTATTGAATTTATATTACTTGGCACCACATCATCAAACTAATGAATATAGTTTAATATTTAGTGGCATGATGTTATGTCGTCTTACACCACCTATGTGTTTGAACTTTCTGGGTCTTATACACATGGATTCACATATTATTAAAACTCATATTCTAGAAACCCATTATACTCAGGTAAATACATAAGTAATGAATAGTCATTAGATTTTCATGATAAATTTTATTCATTTTGTAATTCTTTCATTTAGGTAATGGGACACATGGATGTTATTTCTATAATATCTGATGGATTTAACGTGTATTTTCCGATGGCGATTCTAGCATTTTGTTTAGCAACGTATTTTAGTTTAGGGAGTAGATTGCTTTCTATGTTAGGTTTCCAACAATTTCTTGATGATGATGAGTTTACAACAGATCTTGTTGAAGAAGGTCAGGAGTTAATAAAGCGAGGTAAGAATATTTTATTACTCTATTACATTATAATACAGCATTACAATATTTAACTGACATATATTTTTCATGTAACTATGTTTTTGTCAATATTTTTAGAAAGACGCAAACGACAAAGAGCAGAAGATTCAATGTGTAGAAGACGCGAGTTTCAAGAAAGATTTAGTGGTGCTACCAGTTCGTCTCGTTATAGAACATCACGACAAAGCACCGACACAGGTATTCATTTCTTTGAGAAGTCTATTTTAGAAAAGTAATAATATTTAGTATAAAAATTTTTAATTCTGTAATTTATTTCCTTAAATTCTAGTCCGGCCTTTGAAACGAGATGAGTCAGTAGAATCTGCAAGAGCTGGACTATTGCGTGATTTTGATCCTGCAGAATACTATATTGGTATGGCATCCGGGGTTAATAGTTATGGTGCAAATAATAGTTATGATAGAGACTATCAAACTGATGATTTTTATGAAGAACGTGTGGACAATGCAAGAGCATTTATTACAAATACAAATCGCGTAGGACCTCCACCGAGAGGATTGTTCGATGATATTTAAATAGAATTTGATAGCGTCTAGGTTTTGCTCAGTAATAATTGTAGAAAAAGTACATTTACATTTAAAAAAATACTCGAGCTATTTACTCTTGATATATAATAGAGTTTTCGAAATATTGGCTTTAAAATTGTGAATATAATTATGTTTTTCATTTGACAAATAACAATCGTAATAAAACTTACAAATAATAGAGTTCACGTATGAATTCAACAATGTGGTTAAAGGATTTATTTTCCATAATTTTATTGCTTATTATTAAATTTCAAGTGAACAAATGAAAATATCGTACATATATTAAATTTTCCTAAATTTTGAGAAGATTTAATTTATTTAAACTTGTATAATTGCTTTTTTAGAATTGATACAATATTAATACGATAATACAAATATTGCGGTTCCATTAATGTAATGTAAAACGTTAAATTTCATACAGTATTTGATATATTTTTAACGATATAGCATATTTAAGTAAGCAAAAAGTAATAATGTAGAGAACAAAATAGAAATAACACATAGATCATAAAAATTAATTAATTTAGTGACAACTAAACAAATAAGTAAATTTTAACCATTTCTTGTTTTATTTCTATGATCTGAATGTTAATATGATTTAAATATAATATCTGTGTACTTCTTACAATTTTTGTATAAGCTAGTACTTAAAAGTCTTATTATAATGTTAAAACAAGCTATACTTTAGTACTATATTTTTGTTGTATAATAAGAAAAATTCTCTTAAAGACATATTTGATGCTTCAAATTGAAAGTAGGTTTTAATTACATTTGCAAACAATTAAATCTGTAAATAACAAATATTTATACTATCTAATTTAATAACTTAAAGTGAAGTTTATTTATCGTTGTAAGGTATATTTATATCGTTGGGTATTACATTAAATTGTAACATAATTTTATTTATATTCTAAAACACTAAAGCAAAGGAAAGTAGTTTTTAGGATAAAGGTTAAGCTTAAAAAAAAAAAGAATAACATTTTCTCTGTTATGCAAAATGAAATATATATATCAATTTTATTGCAAATATTTCATACAGATATGAAAATAGTTAAGAAAATATCATGTGTCTAAAATATACGTGCAATAATAATAATAATATCTGCTAATAAATATTTAATGTATTAAGAAATAACAGATTTGAATAACCTTGTTCGAATGCTCGCTTAATGGCATTTCTTTTAATTTTTTAAGAGACATATAAATGTATTTTTCAGTCGAAATTTTTACTTTATGTTAAATGTAATATATTTTGTACAATTTGTGGTATGATTAGGTTTTCAGTAAATTCGCACATATATAATTTTCTAAGTAATGTAAACATATCTTAAATAATTATATAGCACAAGAAAATCAATAAATTTTTAATAATAATAATAAATTTCAAGTTATTGAAATAATCATAATAGATAATATAACAATCGACGAAAATGGTAATAATACAATTCATATTGAATTCGCCATATAATAATTTCTTGCAAAAAATACAATAAAAGACGTAAGACTGTAAATACATTTAGTAAAAAATTTTTAATAAATTCAAGAAATTCAATAAATCCTTAAGTTTGTTTCATATATAAGTTTTTAAGGTAAGTAAAAATAGATCCAGAATGTATGTTTCATACAATAGACGAAAAAATAAGTTCGATATAATTTTTAATTTCACAATTCTAATCCTTGCAAATGAATATTATGATCTTATTAAATTCCATAGTCATTAAGTGAAATAAACTATATAAAATGTGATTGTTGCTAGAATGAAGAAAGAAAGAGTATAGGCAATCACTATTTTTACTATTTTTATGTGTTCTGATTGCGAAATACGATTTTTCCCGGGCCTATACCTAGAGTTTCCCAATTCTGGCATTAACAATAGAGGCTCTAACAATAACAAACTGGATCTATTTGCGCGAAGATCAATTACATCATCTTGTTTGAGATTATGTAATCGAAATACATCATTACGGTAATGCATCCAGTTTTGCAAATCAGTATCATATCCAACATGTTTTATCGAGCTTAACATATTATTGTGATTCACATAAAACACTGTAGGTGCAATGCCATTGTTTGATATTCTTCTATAAAAGTTACTTGCAGAGCGATGATATAATTCTGTATTTACTACTCCTCTTGTACTGCTATTTGTGACAATAATATTTGGTTTTAATGTTGTTTTTAAATCAAAAACGTCTCGCGGTGGGCCATAATAATAAAATATACTGGAACTATTAGTTTTTAGATAATTATAAACTAATAAGCAGTGCTGAACATCATCGTACTGTAAAAACAATATATTGTTGTGTTTACCATCTTCTGAACAATATTTAAAATTTAAAGATTCATTTTGTTGAAGTAAATGAACTTCTTTCGCATATAGTGGTTTCTTTGCATATATCAAACGATCAGAATATACTGGACTGCCTTGTAAATTGGCACATTGTTTACAAATTTTATATCGAGGAAGAAAAAGTGTATTTATTAAAGTTTTTGCCGTTGTAGGGCTGTATTTTTCATAATAATCCATAATATCACATTCAAGAGTATTGACTTCTTCATAAACATGATCTACTTTTGATGAGTATTTTGTAATTGCATTATTTTTCTTTGTATTCTGTTTTGTTAATGTATTACTTTCATTGATTATACTGCTTTTGAATTTATTTAAAGATTTACTATTGTATTTTAAGGACTCATTTCCGTATGCGAGTTGTCTTGCTTTATAAAATTCGCTTTCTGATAGCACTGAAAAATCTGTAGTATTTGATATAGTATCAATTGTTTCCAAATTACTAATAACAGTAGGAGATATGTAATCATGTTTAACATTTTCCTTGCATTCGTTTTCTTTAAGTTCTTGCATTAAAAAAACTTCATCACTTGTAGATATCATGTTAGCATTTATAAATTTGCACGGTGGCAGCATGCCATTTTTGTCTATGTGCGAAATATCAAATGCGTGTGTCTCCGTGCTTGGTGTTTCTATAGCTGTGTTAAATATGTGCCATTTATCATTGTGATCTTTGTTTCTAACACTACGTTCTTTTTCTAATCGTAAATGTTCTAAGTGTAATTGGCGGTGGTGAACACACGCAAAATTATATCAATTCGTTCTTTCATTTTCCTCAGATCGTAATTCCCGTTTAATTTTATGTAAGTCGTAAAGAACCTAAATTAAAAAGTGTAGTATAATACAATATATAATTGAATTATTTCTTAGTAAGTATTAATAGCATGTATACAAACTTCTAATATAGAAGCAGCACTCCAAGCTTGCGTTCTGCAGCTGTCATTACAATATTCTCCATCTTTATTGGTAAGTTCTGGAAGACCCCTCCAATGATTTGTAGATGCTTCTATAAAATGTCGAGAAATAATGGTTTCAGTTGATTCAACTATGCGACGTAATTCTTCCTTTCCTCCAACTAATGGAGCAAAATACAGTCGAGCACGGAGAAAATAACCCATAGGCCAAATCCATTCCTGTTACATATTATAATATTATATTATTTTTACTTTAGAATATTTTATATTAAATTCATATATTAAAAAATATTATGTACAGGCCCTTGATGATAATTCCAACCATGAGCTAATTTAGTATCGCCACTGTCATTAGAATTATCGTAATATCCATTGTATGCCCAATCAGCAGGATCCAATGTTTTCATTCCAAGTGGTCCTAATAAAATTTCTTCTGCTTTCTTTAATGCTGTCCATGCGTGTTCGGGATTAAATAATTCTGGAGCCTTCGGGAATAATAATATTTCAATATTATGTATATATTTTTAAAATAAATAAACTATAAAAGTAGGATACTTACGACAACCATTGCGACTGGAAAATTGGGTCGTAGCTGGTAATCAGCCCATGCTTGTGTTGCTCCATGACTATCTTTAAAAATTCCACGGCGATGTATAAGTTCAGATTTTAATTCTCCTTCCAGTGGTACTTCATTAATGTAAAAATATTTTTCAAAATTTAATGAAATCTTATCTGCCCATTGTTTATAGCTCCATGTTACAGTAGAACCTATAAAAAAAAACTAAATGTAGTAAACAAAAAATGAAAATATATGAAAAAAATATGAACACTAAAATTTATTCCTTACCATCACGATTCTTTCTTTGCACACTACCATAAGGAAAAAGATTTTGTTTATATAATTCAGCTAAGAAGCTAAGAATGCTTTTGCTAAGTCCCACTATTTCTACAGCTGAGCCATCTCTTGGAGTAGCTGGTTTTCCTTTATTACCAGCTTTTTCAGAAGATCCCATTTTATCCATCCAGGTGCCACAATTTGCATCATTTCCACCAAATATAAATCCTGTCTCTGGGTGCACTCCGATTTGGTTGTTAAAACCACGATCTGTCATATGTTCATCAATCTGTCTTCCAGCATTTCTTTCTCTAAAACAGGCTCCTTGAAAATGTACCAAAAGAGCTTCTTGAATAATATCATGTAGTGGTTGATCCTGAAAATTTTTTTTTGTAATATATACTATGTATAATATAAATGTTACTATATATTAACTAATTTTTCACATACTACTTGGCCTGCAGGTAATGGAGGAGAATCATCAGTCGGGAACAATCTTGAAACTTTGTCTGTTAAAATTTTCAAACCATTTGGTACTTCTTGTATGTAACACTGAATTGTGTATAACCACCACCACAAAGCATCTCGACAATTATATCTACAAAATATTAAAAATATTATGTAGCAAATATAGTAATAATTGTAAATTAAAACATTACTATTATTTACCTCGCATTCTTTCCTTTATCAAGTAAATTTGGGATAAGGCCATGTCGTAAGGTTCCAGCATAACCGAGAATAATAAATCGTGCTTCTGTATTTCTGCCTGTTAATATCAGTAGTCCTCTTAAAGCAATAAAAGTATCTCTTCCCCAGTTTCTCATATATCCTGTCGCAAAATGTGGTAAACCAGCAGATAGTGTCATACATATTTGTTCACTTTCACCATTGTATTGTTTGATTTTTGGTTTAGGAGGATCTATATTTGGAGACAAATCTGGTAATGGAGCTGATCTTACCACTCCTCCCATTTGTATTGAAACCAGTGATAAAATTTTGACAAAGGTGGAACCATCTTTCACAAAACTAGAAAATTACGATCAATAAGTATATATATATTAAAAATAAATAAATACATATTTTATGTAAAGTACCTTGACATTAGACTATAGCATTGTTCAAGAAGAATCATATAAACATTTACAATTATAACGTCAAAATAACTGGGAACTAAATAACGGGGTATTAATTTAAATGGTTCAGTAGCTTCTTCAAGCCATTCTCCAAGAGTTTTGGTCCCATCATCCTCTTTTAACCGTTGCCAAGTATAATCTATATGTAAAATTATGGTGTGTCATTAATTATACGTTATTTGATAATGTAGTTATCTAGTTTTTGTACTCATTTTAGTACTTACCTATTAACCAGTTACCCTGTCTAAGATTAATGCACATTGGATGACCCAAATCGTTGTTAGGACGAATATCCGCTAGTAAAGAAATAATACCTAAAAATGGAAATATATCCGATATACTATTTAAATATATATAAAAAATAATTAAAAAAATTAGTTCAAATTACTAATTTACCCTGCAATCCTGCATAAGGAAGTGGCCCATAACCTGGTACATCATATATGTCAAATTTATTTGAAGTTTCGTCGCGTTCTTCTTGATCACATCGGTATAGTGCTTTATTTAAATCCACTAAATCCATACGAGATGCAATAACGCGTATGTCTGAACTTTTCTGCGATGTAACTATTGAAATAGTATTATGAAGTTTTGCAAGTGCAGGTTTTATATTAGCATGAAGAGATACACTAAAATTAAACATATCAATATTCATATATGATATACAATTTATGAACAAATTTCATACAAAAAAATATAATTAAATATTACCGAATAGCAACAACGGAGCCTGGTTGAAAATTTATAAAATTAAGTTGCGTTATTTTAGGATCACCAGAATCAACTTTTTCCAATATTTCTGAGTCACAAATTTGTATGTGTTCTTTAAATTTTAGAACATATTCTGAGAGACCATTTATGTAATTTTCATCGCGAATATATTTTTCAGGATAATGGAAGGGTGATATACCATTCCTAGAAACGTTTCGATAAAATATCAATACTTAATAGCAAATATAAAAAAATAAAGTTATTGTTTTCATTTCTTACTTTGTTTCTATGTGGGACAAAGATGACTCCAAAATAATTTCTTCCATTACACCTTCTACTCGTAATGGTTTCACATGCCTCCTCAAATCATTAGCATTAGGATCAGGATGTTTAAAAGCTGTAAAAGCAACTAAAATCACGCTATCATGAGTTGTTGGAGAATGTCTCGTTACAGCTACTATATCACTATCCATTTGATCGACAAATACCTGTAATTTTAATAAACAATATTTAAGGAATCTGTATAAAAATTATATTTTTTATATATTATATAATGTACTTGAGAAAATTTTTGTTGCCCAAGAGTATAATGTAAATCATTTAACGCTCTTTTTGCTGCAATTATACCAGTTTTTAAACCTACAAATTTAATACCATCTACTAAATATTCATCATCTTTCCAGGATGAATATTGTCTTGTTTCATCTACAACATGTATCTGTAAAAATTAATAAGAATTAGTGAACATATGTTTTTTTGAAATCCTTTAAATATATATATATTATACTAAAACTAACTTACATGATGAGGAACTAATTCGTCGTATCCACGATTGCTGCCGCTAGCACATGCTGCCATTGATACAAGAGCAGCACTTGGAAGTAAATCGAATAGGCTACGTTTTTCCACTGAACTAGGATTATCATGAGTTAAATCTAAAAACAGTGCATGTGCTATACTTGGTACTAAAGGCCGTTTACGTGGTTGCAAAAATGCACCAACTGGTTCGCCTCCATATCGGTATACAAGTCGACCTTCTTCGTGACTATCCCATGCAGACATAGCTTCTATTATGAAAAAGGGAATTTATAAGATTTAATAATAATTTATATTTGTATTACATATTAACATTTTGTAAAGTTTCATAGGTTAAAATAAATCTGTATACCTCGAATTAAAGAAGTGATACCAAGACGATTAACAAATATGTTATCTTTTTGATCGGAATTAGTAAATAATTCGGCAACAACGTACAAATCTGGTCGGATTCGACGAGCAACATCAAGCATGTACTAAAAAGATTAAAGATTCATTAATGTAGAATTAATCTGAATATAGATTTACGCAGTTTAGTATTTTAACAGTTAAATATACCTCAGCAACTGGAATAGGAGTAGAATGACAATTGTCTAAGCGAATACCGTCAAAAATTTTAGCTGTTTGCTCGACGTACATAGTAATATGTTGCCACAGAAAAGGACAATCTTCTGGTTTATCTCCATATCTGGAACAAATATAATATACTGTTGATTTTGATTATTTTATAATATGTTAATAATTTCAAAGGCAATTGCACTACCTTAATTTTACACTGTCACCCCAAGCAATAAGTTCTCTTCTTATATAAATATTAGAATCAGGATCTGCAAAATTTTTTAGAGGGTCACCATTCATTACCCATCCATTATGAGCCATAAGGTAACATCCTGCATCTGAATACATTGTTGCTTCTCTTTCAGTTAATGTTTGTGGAGCTCCATAATCAGTGAAATATCTACAATGTAGCATATTTTAACATAATTTTATGGAAATGCATATATATAAAATTAATATTAAAAGAACAAATTTTTATAATAGTTATTTACCTAGGAACAAGTGGATTTCTTTCACTTATTTCTTTAAGTCTTGGTCCATCTGGTTGCACTCTAAAATATCTAATACCAGCAATTGTATTCTCAATTGCAGCATTCAAATGATTTTGAACTTCATTAATGATTACATTATTAAGTTCTTGTAATTTCTTTCTTAAATCTTCAGCACAACGTTTCAAACGAGTTTCTTCGTCAAAACAATCGGCTCTGTCATGAAAATATAGCCAAGAGCATTAAATAAATCAAAATCTTATTGAATTGATATTTCATATATTGGTTATGTAATTTACCTATATATATCATATTTTTGTAAAGCAAGTTGCATATTTATTGTTGCTTTCAATCTACGAAATTTTGGATCTTTTATTATTTTGATATCTTCTGATATTGGTTCAATAGTATCTTGAGGTACTCGATTTCGTGCTAAACTCAAGAACTCAGCAATAGTTTCATTGATATCCAATATGTATAATTCGTGTATCTTTACAAGTGGCAAGAAATATGTATGAAGTGCATGGCGAATTGACTAAAAATGAAAAAATTATTAGCATATACAATGTTATTATATATTAGTATATTAGCATAATTATTATTGAATGTTTACATAATGCATTTATCTTACATTTAAATGTTCTTCAGTTTCAACTACCGGTGGGATACCTTTGAACTCCCATTCTCCAGCTGCCACTTGTACTGTCAATTCAAATAATGCAGCATCCAAAATATATGCTGGGCGTAAATGAGGACTATTCAAACAATTATATGTACATTCAGGATGAGATACTAAGATAGGACTTTCATTAGCTGTATGATTCAGTACAATATCACATATGCTTAGCATCTAAAATATGCAATATTTAAGAAAAAGGTTAATAACCATTATATGAAATTAAGTATAAAGTATATAAAATCATATCACTTACATTCCATTCATTACGTATTTTATTGACCAATTCTTCAACATCATCATATGTGATTGGTTTATCACCATCATTGAAGGTAGGATTTAATTTCAATTGGTCACTAAGACTGTAAGATGATTTAGAATATCCCAATTCCTAAAAGATGAATCATATAAAATTATAATATATAAAGTTAAATAACTTGAATATATTAACTAAAAATATTACCTAATAAATTAAATAAATTACCTGAATTGGTGTAAAGTGAATCATATTGTATCCAGAATTTTTAGCTACTAGCAGTTTATCTTCCCAGGTAGAAAATGGTCCCAAACATTTTGCAAGAACAGTTTGGCATTGAATACAGTCTAATGGTAAATCATTTCCATCTTCTCCAACTTTAAGTTCTGGATCCACCAATAAATATCCAGAAGCAATAGGCTTCATTCCTTCAGAGCTAAGAAATTCAATATATTTAAAGTTATGAAAAATAATTTTTTTCATATTTGATACTTACTTAGGGTCTATAAGATAATAATGAAATGAACCAGCCAGAGATAAACACATATTAGCTGTCTCGTTAATCCATTCTAATGGATAATAAGTATGTCTTTCAAATTTTTTACTCTCTCCTAAAGGATAATTTATAAAAAGATCAAGTGTCTTTCCAAGAAGAGAAGCGCCTAAACGAAATTCTACTCTCCATCCTGTTAAAAATTGTTTCAATTCTAAATATTGCTTACAATTAATTTTATTAAAATTTTACATAGTGCAAGAATGGCATACCTTTATTTAATCTATATAGTATACCATCAAGATGTTCTCCATTATTCAGAGTTAAGACTCTTATTTGTTCAGACTCGTGACCTTCAGATGATGACATGTGTTCTGTCATATTTTCAACCACTGCCTAAAAATATAAATATACTATTTTATAATACAATATGATAAAAATATTTATATTTTTTAATTATTTGCAGAATCTATAATTCTTGTGTTTATATAAATTTTAATACATTGTTCCAAGATTATTTGAAACACTTGTTCTAGATTATAACAAAGAAGTTAAATAATAAAAGACATGTTTATAAAAAATATTTATAAATATATAGTAAATTAACAAGAAATCCATAATTTTTATGTCTATAATACTTTTAAGAGGTAAATTTTCTCTTAAGAGAATAGTACTTACACGTGACATGTGGTAAAATGGATAAATACTTAGCCCACAAGTCCCTTAATATAAGTTATCAGCACAAAGCAGCTAGCAAGCGTGCAGAAAGCACAATATTAGATTACTAAGTTATGCTGCATGAACATGCATAAAGCCCAGAGATATTCTCATTCTACATGCTTGGATTACCTCTTTGTAATAATATAAACATGGGACAGACTTTGTACCATATAACATCAATTGTATATTTATACTAATATTTTCTATCTATCTACTACTACTACATTTCTAATAAATTTAATAGAGATGTTATTATTTCCAATAGCTCAGCATTATTTTAATACTGAAATATTAGCCTGAAATATAAATCATTTTATATATAATAAACACTATATATTTAACAATATATGTAAGAGACCTCCTTTGATTAGATTGTTATGTAGTTACATCAACCAAATGTTATAATGACATTACAATGGTTCTTATTATTCTAAAGATATAAATACAAAAAATTATTAAGATATATCATCATCTTATCCAAACTTACATAATAGTAAAGGCATCTTAAATAACGGCATTTGCAAAGATGTTGAAGAATGGTTCTAAGTTTCCTTATTAATATCCTTGTTGTATCGCAAAAAAAATAGCCTATTGTAAGTACAGAACCCATTCTCAAAATAAATCATACAGCTGAAATTGTTATCAAGGGCAATAATTTTTCTTAATTAGCTTTATGTTATAATAGCATTTATGTTATATATATTGCTTTCATTTAAGCAAACACCATTTTTGTATTACCTACAACAAATATAAAGAAATATTTTTAGTACAGAAAGTTATTATTAAATGCTTTCAAAGAAATTAGAATTAATTTTGTGTATTTTAAAACTCATGTAAACATAATGTAATTATATTAATTAAAACATTTAAGTTTTATGTATTGTATTAAAACAAGATGATATATTTAAAAACTGTTTTATTTAATTATCCAAAAGTACATAATATATATAGTTAAAGATACAACGTATTTGAGATTAAACAATATTATTATAAAAAAAATTAAAGTGAATCATCAATAATTTCAATACTCTTACACAGACACAAAGTTACAAACAAGATACTAATGTAGGTAGTATGCCAAACCATAAAAATTATACACATGTACATCAAAAACCCTTATAACATAATTGTATTATTAAAAATTTAAATACAACTTATATATGTATACACATAATAGACTTGTATACAATGGGTTAATAAAAACAAATAAAATCACAATTAATAGTTTACTTCATATAAATAGAACATGCAAAATGTCGTAAAAATTTACGACTTTTTAAAAATTATATTGCACTTTTCTCCTGGTGGTATTATTTACTTTTTTTCATACCTGATTATTCTGCTAATGCATTCTTTTCAAAACTAAAATACTACACTTTCATTTAAAAATAATAGGAAAATATGTGAACGAAATATGAAAAAATTGCTAAAACGCAAAACAAATTCTAATTATTCTTCTCTATAATTTACTATAATTCACAATACAATATATTAATAATAATTAAAAATGCCTTTCACTTGAATTTGACCTCTATTTTGCAAAGACAAACTTTGAAGGTCATGAAAACGAGAACACAGATCATGTTAAAGGCACAAAAGAAGCAGACGACAGGTTGCAGTTAATGAAAAATCCGAACATGTTGATTGGATGATCACCCACGACAACTTCATGTTGAAATTTCAAATACGTTTTTTTTTGAAAAGTTAACGTTTATAATTTATAATTTTGTTATATTCGTGTTTAATATTATAAATTTACTGTATAATTATATATGTTTAATATATGATCAAATTTTATTTGTTTGATTAATTTCCTGTATAGTTAAGTTTCTAAACCAATGTCGATAATATTTTTATATATAATTTAATATATAACGTGATATGTTAGATATTTTTCTATGTATGTATATATATATATGTATTTCTAAGTTTTTTAAATTATGATATTAAAAATTTTATTTTATTTTTAATTAAATTAAATTAAATTTAAAATTTAATTATTCTAATAATTAATTAATTAATTAAAATTAAATCAAACAAAATAAAAATTTACAAATTTGTCACATACATACAAATACACATATATGTACACACACACACACACACACACACACAAATTGTAATTGTAATTATAAATTAAATATCATTGCATATCAGAATCTTATCAAAAATGTTTAAAGGAATAAAAAAACATATTTCTTTAAATAACTTAATGTGATCATGAACAGTGATAAATAACTATATAATAGTCAAAAAGGTTTTCTAATAATATTTTCATTATAAACTTATGAATAATTTTGCAACGGTGCAATAATAAAATACGAATATTTTTAAAAATTATTTTAACTGTGTCCTTGATAATCTAAAAAGACTGTACAAAGATGAAAATTTTAAATATGTAAAATTACAATAGATGATACAATGTATTAATAAATTTTTATTTAAAATAATACTTTTACAATATGATTAATTACAAACTGATAATATTTCTTGTCGCTGACTGTCATTCGCTCTCTCTTTTTCATATTATTTCAAAATGGCAGCTCCTACGGATGAATTGAGTAAGTACTTTCAACAAAAAATTAATTTATTTTATGAAAAAATAATTTATTTTGATGATGACATAAATTATATCATTAATTGCTCTTTTTCTTCTTTAATAAAAATATATTTCTGATAATAACAACATTTTTAACGTTGTTATGGCTCGTAAAAAAAAGTCGATTATCATGCTGTTTTGTAGATGACTTAAAATATATAATTTATTGATTCAAATTTATTGTTGTTTAAACTTGTGTTAGATAATAATTCTTTTTCTCTCCATTTGTATATTTTTATTTTATTTTTAGTATATATTCGTATCTATTAGCTAATGATGCTAAATAAATAATGCATATATAGTTTTTCTCTTATAAAATTTTATACATTATAGATCATTTTTTGATTATTTAAAATTTATTCATACAATTTATATTTTTTCATTATAGTTTTTCAAAATAAGTACTATTTATAAGAGTAGATTATAGTAAATAACTATTATTGATTTAATTTTATAATTAAACAATCCTGATAAGTATTATAAATATAATATTAGCATGTTAGTTATATATGAAATTGATATATAAATTATTTATTATACATATCATTTAATGTTTCATGGAAGTTTTGTTGGAGCGAGTGTTTTTTCGTTTGGGATCTGCAGAGACTGATGAACAATTGCAAACATCAGTCTGCAAATTTTTACCTCCAGTTTTATTGAAGCTCTCTAGTGGACAAGAAGGTGTTAGAAAGAAAGTAATGGAACTATTAATTCATATAAATAAAAGAATAAAAAGTAGACCACAAGTTCAATTACCAGTTGAAGCACTATTACTACAATATCAAGATCCAGCTGCTAGCTCATTTGTGATTGTATGTTATTAATGGAAAAAGTTAATTTACAACATTGTTAATATAATAATTGATTTTTATTCTATTCACAGAATTTTACTATTATATATATAAAATTAGGGTATCCAAGAATGGAAATGCAAAAGCAAGCAGAATTAATTCCAAGTGTATTAAATGCCATTGAAGGAAAACCATTATCTCATCAAGATAGGTTTGTAAATATTTTATATAATTTAAATAACAAAAATTAAAATAATTTAAAAAGAAAATTACTTAAATTAATGTACAAATTATTTTAGTTTGTTACTTATAATTATGCCTGCATTGGGTCATGTTAATGTTCCTGTGGATCCAGATAAACAGTCATCTTTTCTTGGTTTACAAGACAAACCTTATGTATCAAAACAGTTACTCAATTTTATGCTTGATGTTTTATTGTTACCTTATGGGTAAGATTATTTATTATATAATCTATTCAATTTATTTAAGATTATTATACATTAATTATACAATCTTTGTATACTATGTATATATACTTTGTATACTATTTTTATATAGTATACTTTGTATACTATTTGAAGTATTCAAATGAAATAAGATAACATGTTTTTAGATTATTTATATTAATTTATGATACAAAATTATTTCAGATCTGTAGGACAAATGCAAAATCAACAGTCAGATCAAACTATTGATTGGCCACAATTTCGTGTACCATTAGGTTTAAGTGAATATGCATTTAAACGAGTAATTGGAGAAAATCCACCAACTGCAGAACATCTTGAACAAACGAAATTGGGAATTGTTAAATTTTTAGCTGGAGGGTTTTTCCCTGATTCAGATATTCTTATACATTTAATAGTAGCTGCTGCAGACACTAGGTTTACCGTTGCTAATTTAGCCGACTTAGAATTAAAAAAAATTGTTATGTATGTTTAAAAGAATTTTTATACCATTTTTATAAATGTTTTATTAGAATTTGTTAAATACCAAAATTGTTTTATAAATATTTAGGACATTAGATTGGTCTTCAATGCAGTTAGCTGTACCACTGTATACATTATTCTTGGGTACTGAGGCTTTAGGACTCCAAAAAGAAGTTAAGCCAGAAATGAAACGATTGCCTGCGGGTATACGAATTCGTTTAAAATTATTGCATTATCTTTGTCGTGTTACTAAAGCTGGTATTATAATACCACCATGTATTCAGGTATGTTCTATTAGTTTTATACTGTATTTTATACCATTTGATAGTTAATTGTAATTAATTTATAGGTAGTTTTTCATTCTCTAGAAGGAGATGGAAAAAGTACAAATGCAAAGTTAAAATCATTGGCATTACAATTTACATTAAACATTGTGCAACAGTGAGTATGATACATTATAAATCATTAAATATACATGTTGATAATTTTTATTATTTTAAGGTGTAGTCTTGCTCCATTATCTCGTATAGCAGGTATTATTTTGAATCGCATGATAAAATTAATTTTCAATGGTGAAGATATTCATAAAATGATGGCATATACTGTTATTGGACAATTGGGACAAAGAATTCCATCAGTAATAGATAAAAATTCAAATTTGTTATGTCATTTATTTGATGCGCTTGTATCGGTATGTAGTTAATACCAGAAAAAGTAGTAAGTTTTGTTGTATGTTAGGTTACCATAATATTTCTATTTTGAGTCGAACTTTTTATGGTGTTTAAGACGGAAGGTGATTTACGAAGAACAGTACGAGATACATTAATTTCTATAACATCAGCATTTGTACTTAATAAAGATGATGAAGTTAATATATCTCTAATGAACGGATTATTGTCTACTTATATCGAGTCGTCAGAATCTAATGTTCGGTATGTATAATTAATTAAATAATATATATGTATAGTTAAAAATAAGGTTATTTATATAATTAAGAATTATATCGTTTCTGATAGTCATATTTTTTATGAATAGATTTGTAGCTATGCATTATGCTGCTACTGTATTTCCTCCAGATGACATACCTTCTCGTTACCTTTTATTATTAGTATCTGGAGACGATAAACACGAGATAAGAACAGAAGCTATAAAAGTTTTATATGGTACTATAAATAAAAATGAACATGATACGCAAGATTGTAATCAAATTCTGTTACCAGATTTTCATAAACTTGTTACTTATATTTATTCAAAGATGCAAACAAGAATGTCAACTAGTGGTAATGAAAAAATGAATGTACAAAATAAACTTCCTTATAGTAACACTGTATTTACAGAGGTAATTAATTCAGTGCAAAATAATTGATTAAATTATACCTTTTTTTTAGGGAAATAATTTTTTTTCTTGCAGATAATTACTTACCTTCGTATATGTTTAGCAAAAAATGCTAATGTTACTAAATACAACGAATTATTACAACATCCTTGTGAAAGTACACCATTAATTGCACGTTATTTAAAAAATCTGTATAAAGTAGAATCAGAGATACTACATCATTATTTTGATATGATTTTAATGTTTAGTCATACTTCTGCAGGTAAGATTACATGTGACATTTCTAATAAATCTAAAAGTGTATTGAAAACTAATTACAAGTTGCAACACATAAATAATTATGTAATGCAGATCAAACTTCACTGCATGCTTTATTGGAATTAATTGGTTCTGTCCCACAATTTGCAACCAGAATTTATGAAAATGAGTTATCTTGGCTTCGTACTTTACTTATTTCTACTAAGCGAGATGTACGACATCTAGCTGCTAAAATTTATGGTATAATAACTACTCAACTTTCCAACAATGAGTTTGAAGTTCAAGTTTCTGAGCTTATGAATGTTATGGATAATAAGAATTTAGAAGCTCAACATGGGTCATTATTAACGTTAACGTATATGATGGAAAGAAGATTCATTTTTGGAAAAAATGATATAAACAATGATTTCTTTAACTGGGATCTTTACATTAATGTTGTAAAATTAATATGTACGTATATATTTAGACATATAAATTAATATTAGTCTATTCCTTAATTCTATTTTATAAATATTATTGTAGGTAATTTTCTTCGCAGTAGTACCATTTTGTTAATGGATGCTGCAATTCAAAGTATTGGTATTTTGGGAAAAACATGTGGATTGCCATTATCTGACGAAGCTAAAGAAGAATTAAATAAAAAAGCAATTGTAGAAATATTATTTTCAGCATTGAATAATGTAAAATTAAATACTAGGGTTCGTATTTTAATAATTGTTAAATTTATCGAGTTCATAAAATATAAAACTAATTCAGTTAAATTTCTAGATTAAAGAGAAAGCTGCACTCTCATTAGGTTATTTATGCATAGGAGAAAATTTTCCTTATACTTTATACATAGTGAATAAAATCATTACAACTGCTAAAGAGGTAAATATACAATCAAAATAATAATTAAAAGTTTTGCACAAAAATTTTAAGCTTGCTTCTACATTTGTTAGACAAAAGACATTGAAATACATTTAATTATGGGAGAAGCTTTAGTTTGTTGTGTTCAAGCTGAAGCATCTCTAGAAAAACGAGATGCTTGGACAATATTACCAAATGAGTATAAAGTACCTTATAGCAATACCAGCACAGAACTATTAATTCATACATTAGATGAATTACTTCAAATATATAAAGAACCGCATCCTAATTTGAAACAGGTATTTATTTAATGTTATTCCATAAATTACAATATCATTATCTTTTTTTTACTATAAATGTCTGTTGTAAGGCCGTCTGTGTGTGGTTATTAACATTATTGAAATATAATATCCAAAGAGAATGTATTAAAGAAAAATTTTCTTCATTGCATCATGCATTCGTGAACTTTCTTTCAGATGATAGTGGTAAGTTGTATAATATGTTTCCTACATAAAAAAAAAAGAATAATAAAATAAAATTAGATAATTTACTATTATTTTTATTGCAGATATAGTACAAGATATGGCAGCAAAAGGCCTTAGTTTGATATATATTAATAGTAACAAAGAACAAAAGGAACTTTTTATTTCTAATATATTAGATCAATTTACACAGGGACGTAAAACTGTACAACAAGTTACACCTGATACGAAATTATTTGAAGAAGGTGAACTAGGAAAATCTCCAACAAAGTAAAATAAGATTGTATATTTAGATATTATTATTTAGTTTTTAATTTCATAGATTCAATTTCGTTGTTATAAATAATATTTTATTTATAGCGGTAATTTATCAACGTACAGAGAAATTTGTTCCTTGGCTACAGAGTTACAGAAACCCGATTTGGTATATTATTTCATGCACATAGCAAATCATAATGCAGTATGGACATCTAAAAAAGGTGCTGCATTTGGATTTGCAGCAATTGCTAAAATAGCAAATGAAGAATTGAATAAATATCTACCCAACATAATTCCACGCTTATACAGATATCAATTTGATCCCACTCCCAAAATTCAACATAGTATGTCTAGTATTTGGCGTGTGATCGTTCCATCAACGAGTAAAGCTGTAAGTAATATTCAGAATATATTCTTAATTTCGTTTTTATAATTGTTATTTACAATTATGTTGCAAATTTTAATAGATTGAACAATACCATAAAGAAATTTTAAATGATATAACTGATAATTTAACAAATTATGAATGGCGAGTGCGAATCAGTTGTTGCAATGCACTTACAGATTTACTACGAATAAATGTTCGTTTAAATCTGGCGAAATGTGCTCCGGAATTATTCAAAAAGTTGTTTCGAGTAATGGATGATTATCACGAGGGTACTCGATTAGCTGCCACAAATGCAACTAAAGCATTAAGTAGAGTAAGTTTTGATTTATTATTTATATAGAAAGTGTAACAATTATATTATTTATAATATAAATCATTTATAATATAAATAAATAATAATGGCTATTTTAATTTTAATTTTAATTGTGCGAGCGCGTGCATGTATGTACATGTATATATAATTACACAATTTACATTTTATATCAATTCATTAATACAGGTTTGCATTCGATACTGTGATTCTTCTTATGGTAAAGAAGGAGAAGAAGTTCTACAAGCAATTTTACCTGTATTATTAGATATTGGAGTTGTTAACATTGTGAGCAGTGTCAGAACAGTATCTTTGCAAACAGTGTCTCAATTGGTCTCGAGAGCAGGTGACTTGCTTAAGCCATCTTTGGTTACATTAATTCCAGCTCTCTTAAGTGCTAATGGCGAATCAGAAAATCCAAATTTGTCATATTTGAGTAACGTATATGGAGCAATGTCCGAGACACGAGATGCTATTGACAATATTAGAGCAAGTGTTGCTAAAGAACTTTATGCTACTGAAACAATAACGAAAGTGAGTTACCTAGTATAAAAAGGTAACCACAATATACTATATTAATCGTTAATATTTTTTTTTAATTCAGTGTATACAGTATATCGATGCAGAGATTTTAAAGGAATTGATGCCAAAAGTGGTAGAATTAACAAAATCTAGTGTAGGCTTTGGAACAAAAATTACATGTTTGCACTTCATCATTCTTTTGAGTATTCATTTTAAACACGAGTTACAACCTCATAGTGGTTAGTAAAAAAAATTGACGCTATAATATGTTTAAGTAACAATGTTTCCAAATTATTATAATTTAATATTTATGTAGGCAAAATTTTAAGCGCATTAATGAATGGATTATCGGATCGTAATTCTGTCATTAGGAAAAATAATGCAACTGCTATTGGACATATAGTTGGATCAGCGAAAGAATCAAGTCTTGAAAAATTATTTAAAACACTTAATACATGGTACATGGAACGAGGTATGCGCTATATAATAATTGTTTTTAATGATAATATGCGTATAGAATTTGTGAAAAGAGACAGAGGAGGGAACAAAGAAAGTAAAATTTAATTATATTCTAAATTTCAGATGATTCAACTAAATTAACAATTGGACAAACGTTGCAAGCTATAAATAATTATAATCAGGAAATATTGAAGAATTATTCGAACATTGTTATACCTCTTACATTTTTTGCAATGCATGTACAAAAAACAGGAGGTTTGTACTAGGTTTTAAAACTAAATTTGTAAATATCAAAATAATTATTCAAAGTATTTTCATAGAAAACCAAAATATGATCGATTTATGGACCGAATTATGGAATGATATAACTCCAGGAACAGAAGCTGGAATTAGACAAAACATAGAACCGATCACAAATATTTTACGCATATCATTGGAATCGTCATCATGGAATACGAAAGCACAAGCGGCTAATGCAATTAATACGTTAGCACAAAAGTTAGGTAATAATATTGATACAACTGTAAGAAATATTTTATTAAAGGTTTTAATGGATGGCCTACGTGGGAGAACTTGGGATGGAAAAGATTGCCTATTAAGTGCTCTCGCTACATTAGCATGCAATAGCAAGTATGTATATCAAACTATTCTTTTTCTTTTTTTCTTTTTTTTTTCTTTTTTTTTCTTTTTAAGGAACATATTTGTACTGTATATTCTTATAAGCTTAATGTTATGATTATAGGACAGATCTTAAAGAAAATACAGAAATGTCTACAAATATAGTACAAATATTACATAGAGAAAGTAAAAAAGAGGCTTTAGAGTACCGTAGACACGCTTTACAAGCGTTTGGTACAGTCTTGCACGAATTAAACATTGATAAATTTCAAGAGGTATTCGAAATTGTTCAAGAAATATGGTCAACGGTATGTATTAGTAATGTAGATGATAATGACAATTTTAATCTTTGATATATGAGTATTATACAATCCAGCTGTCAAGGAAAGATAAAGATGAGTCTTTAGTATGTGAAGAGAGAATAAAAAGGGATAATGAGATTCTGAAATTATATGAAACTGTTTATGAAGTACTTGGAAAAGCTTGGCCATCTTGTAAAAAAACTCAAGGTGAATTTTTGTTGTATTTGAAAATTGATAAGAATTAAAAATAAGAATTAATCACTTATTTTTACTACTTAACTGGTTTAGACAAATATTGTAATGAATTTATAACTCATTTTGGTAAAATGTTTCCTGTTCAATCTACAACAATACAAATATCAATGTTATCAACTTTTAATTTATTTGTGGACAAACTCGTTTTACTTAAAATAAATAGTTCAGAATTATCAGCTGAAAACAAAGAAATGTTGGATATAATTTGTGATACATTTAATAAAATATTGAAATATAGTATAGGTAAGCACATTGTACGTCTTTAAATATAACAAAAATATATTCTTGTAAAATTGAAAAATTAATATGAATTTTTATATTTCTTGTAGGTATTTCATACATCAGAATAAGGAAAGAAATTTTAGATATAGCTTTATCTCTTAGTAGAAAGTTACAGCTTACTGGAAATAATGACCAATTTGATAACTTGATTTTAATAATTCGAGAAGCATTACCAGAGTTAACAAAGGATAATGAGCCAGAAATTCGAACTAGAATCATCGATATCAAAGAAATGCTTAAAATATGAAGATTGTAATTAATTTTAGTATTTTGTAATGAATGTTGCATATAACTAAATTAGTAACTTCGTGTTCAAACAAAAACTATTATAATATATAGTGTCTGCTGATGCAAGTTTATTTAATAACATGTCATTATAAATTTAGCTAAAACGAAATAATTACGTAACAATACATTATTTAATTCATATCTTTTATTATTTGTAATTTTTCATATTGTGTTGTAAAAAAAAGGAAAAGTATGTTTATCTCTGTAACATATAAATTCTAGATAAATGCTAGGGAAGTTGAGCTTGTTCAGCAACTTCCTGCATAGGTAAGTAGAATAAAATAATCGGCAATATATAAGAAATAACTATACATCTGTATTATTATGTATCATTTTTATATAAACAATTATCTATACACGTTAACAATATTAAAAGGTAAAAACAGAAATTTCTAAAATTTAATTAATTAGATTGTAAGTATTTATATTATAAATAAAGTACAATAACTAAATATTATTAATTACTACACAATGTGTTTGTAATTTCCATTACAATATAACTTTTTACATAAAATTTTGGCTCCTGGATTTGACTTTGATGTCAAAATATTCATCATTGGTTTTAATTTAGAAAATAAAATATTTACTGTTGATACTGCTTCATTTTCCATTAATAATATTAATAAAAAGCATCCTCTGTTGCATTCTATCCATTTCTCTATAACATTTGTTTCTAAATAATTAATTAATATTTCTCCGAATGTACTTTCACTTTTTTCTTGTAATTCTTTATCATTTTGTATAAGTTTTTTTAACATCATGTGTAAACCTGCATGTTCAACTGGTTTATATTCTTTATCACTTTCTTTAATTATTGATTTCAAATCAGTGATAAATTTAGCAATAGCTTCAAAGGCTTTTCTTAATTTTTCCCCAGTATTTACTTTTAATATTGCCAATGTTACCATGGCAATAGAACTATTGGACATCCAAATTGGCGTATATGTAATTACAGATTCAATAAGTGAGTTAGAAATAAAATCTAAAAGTTCTTTTTCTCTTATATGTGCTGGTTTTTTACTTGTTACATTATTGTCTCCTTGTTCTAAATATTTCACTATACTAGGTGCAAAATAATGAGAATTTCTTCTAGCTACTAAATATAAAATTACATGTTTTCCATAATCATTTAATGTTATATCTATTAGATCATTTTCTATTTCTGAAAGTATAATTTTCTTTATTAAAACAGTGTCATCTACTGAATCAAATAATGCTAATAATATTAGATATCCATGCTCAGACATTGAAATATTTTTTGTGTTGCCTTTAAAAGATTTCATAATCATTTTTCTATCTTTGTTTGTACCATACCATATACATATTGCAGCAACTTTTGAACCAAATTTTGTTTGAGACAACTCTATCATTGCACTTCTTAACATAGTTATTATTTCTGCCTTATCTTCCTTAGAACAATTATTTAAGAATTCTAAAAGAACACAATGTAAAAGAGTAGACTTTAAAAGTTTCTTATTCAATATTCTCATTAAATTTCCTTTTACTGCAGATAATGTTGCTGCTTTCATATCCTCTGCAGTTTTATATGTATCAGATAAAGTTTTAATTTGTTTATCTTTAGCTTGTTTATACATATCACCATAAAATTCTTGTTTAAAATATCTTTTCTCTATTTTTGTTGCCCATGTTGAATAGATAAGTTCTAATAATGGTGCAGATACAGAATGACACATAAATTTTATTACATTACCATAACAGGTTGAAATAATTTTGCGTCTAATTTCTTGAGATCCATGTTTTAGCATTATTTTAATACAGTTCTTTGCATATTTTGATTCAATCATAGACAAAACTGAAGGTCTCAATTCTTCAAAAATAATCTGTCGAATGTTTGCATCGCAATATCTAAGTATCCATTGGATAATACGAGATATATCATGTGTAAATATTACTTTATTATAATTAGTTTTTAATAAATCATGTGCTTTTAAAATTAATAATTTACGTTCCAATTTTGAACAATCTGACCTACGTAATTTTTCACCAATTTGTTTTATTGCAATTGACACATAGATATCGTTAAAATGTTTTGCTTTATATTTTTCCTTAAGTTCCTTCTTCTTTTTCTTAAATTCCAACCAATTAGGTTTTTGCATACAATCATTATTTGTCATTTTAAACTTTTCTTCTATATTTTTAATATTATGGTTTTCTTTGCCATCATTTGTCAAAGTTTTTTCATACTTTCTCCAAGTTGCTTTTTGAGTTTCTTGTTTATCGTCTTTAATATTTTTTATGTCATAATTTGTATTATCATTATCTTTTATTTTATTTCGTTTTGACTTTGATTTATTATTAAATTCTAATTTTTGTTTTACCATTTTATAAAATTCTGAAAAAAATAGGAAATAAAATTAACAAAAATGAAGATTAAATGATCTTTTTTTTATTATTCAACCGTTGTCAATATGTAATATATCATTCAAATTTTTACTATACAACAATATAACCTATAAACATTTATCGAGAACCTATGTACTTTCGATAATTATTTAATATTGTAAACTTACCTAGTATAATTAGCTAAACGTAATTTGTTTAAAATATCATATCAAATTAGATTGCAAGTGAAATTTCTAATTTAAACGAATCCTTTACTTGAATATCAAAGACTATACTAGTTTCAACACGTGTACTTGTATTAACACTCAATTATTCACGTGGCTCTAAAATATAAGTATTTTCAAAAATAAATACAAAAAAATAAATACTAAAATAGCGGTAAATTTGAATAATTTTATAACATTGTTTTCAAATCAAAAGTTTATATAAAAGGTAATTAGCATCTTTATTTAATTAATAGACTTTGTTTATCTAATTCATGTTCTGATACATTGTATAATTTAAAACAAAATATAATTAATTAAAATTGAATTTCTATTAATTTGTTTCAATTGTAAATTTATAAATAGGTTTTATATGTTATTATAACAATTTATTTAATAAAATGTTTCTAACATACTTTAAAATATTGCTTAGGAATTCTTTCTGATACTGAAATAAAATTTTGCGATTTATTTTAGTATTTATTATCTACTATTATCGAGCATTGTATATATGTTTACAACAATTAAACTATCTAAAAAAATTAAATTATATTTTTTAATAGTTTCGCAAAATTAAATTATTCTGTAAAATTTTTGATCAAATATTTAATTTTGTTGATACAAAAATAAAATTTAAAAAATTAATTTTTACAATATAATTGTTACTAGATATTGAGTATTGATAACATTACAATAACAGTCAGATCATTAGTATATTTGGTAGTTTAAGAATTGCGACTTCAATTTAATCATTGCTATTTCTTCGTTTATCGTAAACACATAATATAAAATTTTGGTTCTTATTTTATATGCTATTAAAATATTACGTATATATTGCAAAAATTTTTTCTTTCTTTGCTTTAATATTTATGTTTCACCACAATTCTCTATAATTTATGTGCTTACGATTTTACAAAACTACTATGACATCTTTTTATCATATTCGTTTTAAAGTTTGCTTTTATAGTAAATAATTTACTATATTTCATTTTAAATTTAAGTGTCATTAATATTTTTATCTTATTCTATGCTAAATCGATAATCTTGATAATAATTCCTTGGTACTTTATGAATTTTTTTAGATATATGTTTTAAATTTATTTATTTAAATGATTAAATAATTAAATCAAATGCATTGATAATGCACATATGAAATTTATTAGTCATAACTCACAACAGCGCTATATTTCAAAGTGAAAATTAAAATATAATAAAAAATGTTGTTATATAACTGTTTTACGTACATTTAAATATAAAACAGTTGATATTATAAAATATAATATACTAAAATAATATTAACATATACCCTTGCTTTCATTGCGGTACTGCTATTCAATTAACACAAAATATTGTTTTAATATATAAATTTATAATGATTTAATACATTTTTATTACTTAATTTAACATAATAATAACATTAACGAGCTAGTTAAAATAAAATGTAATAATACAAGTTTACGTTTACAATTCTTGTATAAATCACTGTTTGAGTGCATTTGGATGTTTTCTGTCAGATGCACCGTTTTTCCCGCGGAATGATTAGTTATTTTGTAAAGTTCATTGCCCTTTTATAGGTATCGTGTTACAAATATATGTTAGTTTTGTTTCACATCTTTTTCATAATGTGTACGAATGCACACACAACCTATGATCCCCATTGAGCTTTGAATGAATTTCGTTTTAATAATTTAACTGATCCTGGACATAATGTGACAACAGTCACAAACATGTAGCAAGCTAGGATTCCAACATAAGATAATTGCTTTAAGATTCATTTTATTGGCTAAGGAGTGTTCTTATTTCTTTGTGCATATGGCAAAGGAAATCAACATAACTCGGACTTGCGTCATTTTCTCTATCTTCAATCAAGAAATGACGTAATACTAATTCAAGTTTCTCACGCTGTCTCACTATAGTTAACTGAAAATGTTTAATACAATGTAAGTCTTGTGAGAATTTTAATTTAATCCAAATTTGCTAATTTACTTACCCTCATATAACGATGCCTTTCCATACGTACGCGATTAATGATATCGGTAATTCGTTTATTCAGAGGAGTATCTAATATTGGCAGTGCAGTACAGTCTATATCAACTTGAACTACTGATGAGACACCAAACACTGCTTGTACCCATTGAGGAGAAAGTGCCAAGCCTAACCACAGAAACATGTGGATACTGTTTTCTAAAATGAAAAATGTAAAACAAACATGAATATAACAGAAATTGAACGTGTTTTAAGAAAATAATAAATAAATTATACCAAGTAAGTATGCGCCATCATCAGTGAATTTATCAAAAGAGCAGCGCAACATCTGTGGTAACTCTGTATCTTGTGGATCAACATCGTGTAAAGGAAGTAATCTTGGATAAATATAAACAACTGATATAGAAATTGGCATAGTTGCAACTGCTTGCATAACAAAAGACCTATCATCAATAGACATATCAGCACCTAAAATATTGAATTTATAGTATTGATTATATTGTAATAATGGCTTGTTTATAATTTACAGAAGGAATAAATTGATGTACCTCCAGATAATGCATCACTTTTCAATAACGAATTTATGTAAAGTGGAAGCAATTTCATACATTCTGGTAATATTAATTGACTAGCATTAGATGGAGAAGCACAATGTTTTCGGTATGCAGCCAATATATTTGCACATCTTGCGATTAAATTATCCTTTACACTTTTTGGCGTTGATTCAGTTAGTTTGAAAACACCTGAAATAAAAGTCAATTTTGAATGATTGATATTTATCATATTCGAATGATTGAGGAAATAATGACGATTTATCTTACTTTGTTTAGAGAAGTAATTTATGATAGCATCTAAATCACATGCCCGATATAATTCTGCCATTTGAGATGAAGTTTTTAAACTAAGATTAATAATACGCAATCTTCTGATTGCACTGCAGGAAGTGTACAACAAAGCTGCTTGAATATATACACCTTCATCATCTGATAATTTATCATCATGTTTCACTTCTATGGCAATAGCCTAAAATATTAAATATAAAAATTTATAGAAACATCTAAGATGTATAATAAACTAAAATATCAAATAAGAATTAAATTTTACCTTATTACAATCTATACTAGCTAATTCCATATCAGTAGTATTTGACATAAAGAAGTGACCATAAAAATCAGTTGCTCGAATACCGGTAGACGTACGTACACGCATAATAGCATCAAATGCTATTGCTCTACTAATATTGTTAATGACGTCCGAAATTAAACGATCTCCATCTATATCAGCCTAAAAAAAAAAGAAAAAGAAAAAAATATGAAAAATTTTGAATAGTACATATTTTTTACTTATGTGCATATATGAAATAAAGTTAAGTTTATTACCTGAAAATAAGTATATTTGTAGACTTCCCCACCAGTCAACCTGGCAATTTGTCCTATTGTCGCAATATCCACGTATGAATTATTGAAAATAAACAAATCTACAGAACATCCTACACCTACACACTCTTGACCTAGATTATTGTAAATGTTATTTTGTGGAGCTGAAAACCAAAATTAATTTTTGATTATGAATGATTTACAGTCTTAATTTAGAAACGATAAAAACGATTACCTAATACGGTTTTTTCTTTCTCTGTTCCAAGAACTTTACGGTCATCACGATTTTTCAGTTTCCCGGGAGCATCAGCAATGGGCAAAGAAGAATGGAAAACCATTAATTTCCCAGCACAATCTGAAGCCTTAAAAATCATTGATATTCTAATTAAGTAACTTAAGTTACAATTTTCTTTTTTGTTTTGTTATAGATTGTAAAAATACCTTTAATGCTTCTAATCCAGCTTGTATGGCTGGTGCAAGAATTGTTTCTGTTTCACGTGTATCTGCAAACATTGCTGGTATTTGTGTCATTAAACCATCAATAACAGACTCGCTCTCTTCAACATCGCATAAAAATCCATCAAGAAGTGGCATAAAAACATCTTGTACATCTCCCACAACCATCATTTGTGGTTGAGCAAGGCAAGAATTAATGTTGTAAAAGTGTACTGTATTATTGTATGTTATAAATCCAACTTTCATCTTCGTTCTTGTTTGACCAACATCAACAGGTAAATGTCGCAAGATTGACTTCATTTGCATACATAGTAGATTAACTAAACCAGACTTAACTGTGTTATATGACACATCGATCATGAACACAATAGCTGGTGGTTTTGGAAAAGTATTTTTCTAAAATGGATATTACAAAATAAAGCTAACTAACGTAAAATTATTATAATTGTATAGTTTTGAAATCTATATCTTACTCTGCAATAATCTTTTGTAGCAATATATTCGTATGTTCCCAACATTAATTCTGGTCTTTCATAACGATCCATGCGTTGCCCAGTGTGATCCAAATGTTGAAAATATTCTGCTGGAACTAAATTGAAAACAAGAAAGAAAGTAACAACTGAATCGAATAAAAGTTATTAAGTAAATAAATTTATACCTTCAGTTGTTGCTTTACAGAACATGCATTGGAATCTTCTGCCTGCATCAATAAATTGCATAAATGGACTCATATATGCTTTACATCGTATGCAACGCACTGGACCAATTTCACCCATGTCTGCAATGGGTGGTTCATATTCTCCTTCTGCTATACGAGCCATTGGACTTATTATTAGTCCAAATGGAACATTTGTCTAAAAAGGCAAATTATTATGAAGCTGTGGAACATTATATTAATAATTTGTACAGAATTGTACAGATGTACAGAATATTTAACCTACTTGTTTTATAATATCTGATGTAGTAGGAACAGTATACATAGTAGATCTGATGTATCTAGGAGATGCATTTCCTTGATCCTGTGTTACGAATTTAGTGGTTACTAATGGTGGAACTAATCCCTTTTGATTTGTTATGAATACTCCGCCTCTTACGTGTTGATCATCTTGAATTACTTGAATCTTTAAAAATATGGTTAAAACCAATCTAAAGAATTAAATCATAACAAGTTATAACATTTCTAAATACAATTTCTTACTGGGCTTGGCATTTGTTCAGGATCTAAACGTCTAGTCTGTTGTGGATGCATATCAGGTTGATATCCACCCATCATGCCTGATGTACCACCCTGATATGAACTTCTTTGAGCATTATATATATCCTAAAATGAAAAGAAGCATTTATAATAATAATCTATAAGTATGATTTATAACTTATTTTTAAAGTATCTTTTGAAATAAACATACATTATTATAGCCTTGATATCCTGTATGTTGATAATTTGGGATTGCATTAGGTGGATTACGATTAATCCCTAAAGGATTTCCCATTTGTTGTCCTTGTATGGGTGGTCTAGACGTGTATGGTCTTTGACCAGGTTGTAATAAATTTGTACCAGAATTTATTACCTGCTGCCCCACTGGTTGACCAGGTATTAGTGGTGGCATTTGTGAACTAGGTAAATTTTGCTGGCTTAACAATGGTGGTCTGTTAAAGCCCTGCTGATTTGTTAATGAAGATGGGGCAATATTTTGTTGACCTGATATTGGAGGTGGATGTATATTTTGTTGAGTCATTAGCGAAGGACCAGATAAATTAGATATTGACATACTTGGTGGTTCTGGAAATGAATGATTAGGTTTCTGTTGTCCTGGTAATAGAGAATAATGTTGTCCTGGTAAGGGTGGAGCAGGGAGTGGAGGGCCAGGTAAACTTGGCTGAGTTTGCAATGGTGGACTTGATAAATTTTGTTTTGGTAATGACGATCCAATTAAATTCTGTTGACCATGTATTCCTTGCATAATTGTATTGTTATGGGCTTGTTGACTTGATAATGGAGGCCCAGATAAATTTGGTTGCCCTGGTATTATTGGATTAGAGAGATTTTGCTGTCCAGGTAAAGGCGAACTAGATAAACTTTGCTGTCCTTGTAATGGTGGACCTGTAGATCTTTGTCCCATTGGTAGTCTAGGAAAATTTGATTGTTCGGATGTATCAGTAACATTCATTTGACCATGCTGATGCTGATTTGAAGACAATCCTGTATTGAACACTTGTTCAGATGATAAAGTTTGTCCAGAGTAGTAGTGACCAGGAATATTTCCTGTAGAATGTCCTGAAAATGGAAGACCAGTAAGCTGTGATGTAGAAGCTTTTAAAGCTGTCTTCTGCTCTTGTACATTCTGTCCAGGAACAGGTGGTCCAGATTTCCCACCTGGTTCAGTTTGTCCACTAGAAGCTGTTAAAAAAAGAGAAAAGGTAAATTAAAGTTTTTATTAATTGTATATAAATCTCAAATAAATTTCTTTGCTCTTACTAGTTCCCGATGAAGTTTCTAATGCATTATTAAAGCCATTCACATTTGAAGCTGCAGACATTGTTGGACTACTCTTTCCAGGTAGAGGTGGAGGGGGGAAATTTTGCTACAATGAGTAATGCATTTATTATATGCATAATGCAAATTGATGCATTGAATACTTTGTAACTACATTTATAAATAATATACATAAATTACATAATTACCACAGATGGTGGTCTTTGTTGATCTCCCAAAGACATGTTTGACATTTGATTAACTATATTATTCTGACTTATTGAAGATGGTATTATATGTGGATTATTTGTAGATAATTCATACTGAGTATTTCCTAAACATAAAGTATTTTGTTACAATAATGACCATATTTTAAGAAAAAACAATTAAAGTTTATCATATTGCCTTGTGTTTGTATGCTATTCACATAATATGGTGCTTGAGACTGATGTAAATTAGTAAGGGAAGGTCCTTGCATTGATTTTTGAGAAGCATATATTTGGGAATTTATTGGAGATCCTTTTAACACATTTGATGGTACATTAGAATTTACTTCTCCATATGAAGATGAAGTTGGAGGACCAGAAAGATAACCAGATTGCTGTTGTGATTGTTGTTGTTGTGACTGCTGTTGCTGTATGTATTGTGGATTCATGTTTTATCCTAAATAAAAAAAAGGAATAAAAATTCATATACATGCATTTCTTCCTTTAAACTGGAATAATTATTTTTAAAAATTTGAATTTTTAAGAAAATACAAAGTCCTATAAACTTAGTTAAAGCTGAAGAAAGTTATTCTAATATTAAGTTTTCGATTGTCTTTAAAAATATACACAAAAAAAATAAAATTATTAAAAATAATTTTTATTCATGAAAGGTATAATCTTAATGTAAAAACTAAATTTGTAATAGGCTAAAAGTGATATACTCATTAGCAAAATTATAAATTTGTAAATTAAAAATAAAAGTTCAAAATATGCTACATATTGACAGACATAAGATAACCTATACAAAATTAATTGTATGATTACTATATATTGTATTAGTTGCTGATTTTTTGAAACTTATATGTTAATTGGCTAAAAACTTTTGTGCTGCGTGATAAATCATTAATATTTGTTACTCTAGAATAGTAAAATAGAATAAGCCATTTTGCACATAGCAATGCTCGCAAAACAAGGTGCTTGAATGTGTAATTTGTAAAATGTTTATGAAATATAAAATACTTACGTTGTGTCATTAAACGTATTTGAACCATAACAAAAGTTAATATTTCCACAAATGTTTACACTAAATGAAGAAAACGTATTTCGTTGCAATAGACTGCTGCTGATGCCACGTAAGGTGGCATTGCGCATGCGCTTAATGCACGTTGACGAGACACGTCATAATAAAAAATTAGAACATTACAAAAGGGACATTTAAGTAGAAACATGAATGTATTTTATTTCTCCATATATTTATTATTGTAATAGAATCACTAAAATAGTTGAATAAAGTGTAAATAATGAGTAATTATTGAAATATTTATACTTATTTAACAAATGATGGCGCATATTGTAATTTTATTGCTGATCAGTTGGTATCTATATAAGTGTATGATTTAAAAATATTACAATATTACGTTTGTACGATACTCGAAATTTATTTGGTATATTTAAAGCACATTCTTAATTATTTAACTTTTTAAGTATGCTGTAAAATCAAAAAATACAATGATAAGATAATTAAATTATATGCAAATGATATTTTTTTGAAGTTACCTCTAGCGTTAGACTGCGATATAAATGAATCAAATAGACGAGTTTAATTAAATCAATGGTACCCCATATAAAACTTTGTACTACATCAACAGCATAAAATCGATTATTTGTATGATTATAGATAACACATATATGAAGACAGACATATATAATATATATTATCGACAGTACTTTGAATCGAAAGCTATATGCTTCATTTAAAAGAGATATCGTTTTACATAATTCGAATCGAAGACATTTTAATAGCTTGTACCTGAAAACTAAATGTCAATATAAGCAAATCCTTCCAATATAAAATAATTTGTAAAAATTTCTACTAAAAACATACCATTGCTCGGGTCAGCTGCATCAGAAATGGAAATGAAATTTTTTCCTTTTGTAATGATATTTAATATTGCGTTTATTTGTGTAAATCTAATTTTAATTTTATTCATAAATACGCTAAATGAACATATTATTATAACATTAACAAAATCAGGTATTCTATCCAATATCCATGAAATAACATACATAGAATCTACATTGTTATCTAATAATCCATAGTAATCTATTAAATTAGACATTATTATTACAAATATTGTAGTGATAATTCTAACAATATCATTTTTCATGCATAAAGTATGATCAATTTGTATATTAAAAAATTTCACATTTTTATCAACATCATTCATTTGTTCAAATGCTTTCTTTATTTGTGAACTTTGATGCATACTTGAAATTATTATGGTAGGAAATAGAAATACATTTATATAATATCGAATTTTCCGAAGTATAAATGTTTCATTTATATTCAGAAATGTATCAAACATTACATATATATAATATGTTACGTGCAAATACATTAGCCAATAAAATATTATTAATATACCTATATACATGTAATATGTATATGTAATTTTGAAAAATTTTATAGGGTATAAACCTGTAACAGAAGAAAATTCAAAACCTGATACGGAAATACATACCTATATTTTAAAATAACTAAACTATATATTTTAAACAATAAGCTTTTGTGAATTAATTTGTAATTAACATTTTACCTAAAACTTTTGTTATACTCAGCAATAACCAAGATTCTTCATAAATATTAGAAGGACGAAATAACTTCATCACTATGCCTTTCTGCGGTAACAGTTAAAACTAAATATATTTAAATTATGTTACGTTTATAGATTAAACTTGTCAATAATTTCACTTGCATGTCGGTTAACGTTGAATAATTAATTGGAAATTTTATTATGTGATTTATGATCACGTTTTGAACACTTGTATTTTATTACGATTATATTTTATATTATATGTTAAACTATATAGTTGAAAGCTTTATTATATTATGGTAAGATAAATAAAAACAGCTGATTTAAAAAATTATTTTATTGCACAAATATTTAAATAAAATCTCGATTATAGTAATAAAATGAACATATATTATTTATTTGTTAGTAATAAATCATTACTTGTCAGTAATTTATGTCATTGAAGTTGTCAATCCTGGAATATGTTGCTATGTTCAAGAAATTGTGTTAAAAACATATGTTTATGCATGTACGATTATATACTATAAGTAAATACGAATTGACGTATTCGTTGAGTCTGATGTTCATATCAATTTTAAACCAGTTTTATTCTGTTTATTACTTTTTTGTAGTACTTTTTCAGATGTAGGAGTTGAAAAGATTGTACTAAAAGATGAGCGAAAAAGAGACAAGTAATGCAAATGTCTTGATATATTCATCTGTTTATCTATTATAATAAATATAAACAATAATAACTCGCATATCATAATAATAATAAATCGTAATCATAATAAATTATAGATGCAAGTGTTGTAATAAAACGTTTCGTTGAGTAGAATTTTATTTTATAGGTCAAAATCTTTCTACGCAGAAAGTTTTATTACCTGGGCATGATCCTGGATGGAATGATCCCCCAAAATGGGCATATTCTGGTGCACAAAGTTCTGCAACTTCTACAAAACGAATGTTGAATAAGAGGGTAGCATTTCCAATGACAGCTACACAGTCTATAGACAAACAATCTGTCTTAAACAAATCATTAAATATGCCATTACCTGTGCAATCTTCAGCTAATTTGACAACAGCATCACATCCTCCATTGTTATATCATTCAAACAAAAATATAGAAGAAAACATGTGTGAAATAGAAATTGATAAAGAAGAGACGCTTCAAAATGTCTTAAAAAATTTGGATGCTGTGATTGATGAGCATATATTAGAAAAAAGTAGAGTCGATGAGATAAAGAAAAGATTAGATATAATGAAATCTGCATGGCTCGAGGATAAATTAAACAATGTGATATACAAAAATGTCTTAGATTTGTCTACAGGTTAGTATTATGACCAATAATTTTATAAATACATTATTTATTAAAGAAGTATAGGAATAATAGAAAATATTTTTAGCATTACGAGAAGGAAATATTGAAAAAGCTAATGAAATACATATTGCATTAATGATGCAACATGCTAATCTGTGTAGTGCATGGATACCTGGGATTAGACATATTATTTTAGGATTGAAAACTAAAATGCAAAATTTAAATGCAACATAATCTCAAAACCTAAAATTTATCACCAATTAGCAACAATAAATAAATGAAAATTTTTTAAGAGTCAAATTTTTGTCCACAGTAATTGTTATGCAATATTAGTTTTATTTTGTTAATTGTAATTTTATATATTGATTTATTTTATTAAAAAATGAATAGTAAACAAATTACCAATATTATGAATATAACAAATTTTATTACAATAAAACAAATTCCATCAAATTTATATAATGTTTATTGTACTTATGACATTTATCGATAACGTAGAAGTTTGTTGTGATACAAACTCAACGTACTTTACAATATTTCACACTTAAATGGTAAAAAATTAATATTGCGACTTTATTTTTATATGTATATATTTAATGAATATGTTGAAAATATAAGTTATTTATACTTTTAATCTAACGTGTTTTAACAAATAGCAAACGAAATATATAATTAAATTATAACATAGTTTTCTAATTTTTCGCTAGATCTTACTCTTTCAATTTGATTTTCATACATACAGACACATTTCGAATATTTAACATTTTCACAAAACGTTAATTTCGCGAGAAGTTTTTGATGTTAATATAGTTAAATTGTTTGGTAGATAAATATAGTAAATTAAAATATTTGTGAAATTTATTTTCAATAATAGTAACCAATATAGCAATCGTGAATTTATCATTAGTTTTTCGTGTTTTGAAGTATATATGTAAAAATATTAGTTTAAGTGTAAGATATAATGTTAAAAAGTTAATTATTATTTATGAGCATAAATATTTGATACTATCAACACATTTACGGGAATTCATTCATGGAGTGAATTCATCGAAAAATTAACTCGATGCCTGATCAATTGACAATTTTACTGAATTCATCTTTATCGTAGCATGATGAAAAATTTGTATTCAGTTAAATGGTTCAGATGTTTTCTAAATGTAACAAATGAAAACCACTTTGGAAATTGAGTTGTTTTATTACCAAGTATCAATTCATCAATCAAAACTTTAAATAGTAGGAAAGATCAGAACATTCTTAAAGGGTCATTCGGTGAATACGATTTATTTAACACTCATGTTAAATACGTAACATTTTTATTGTACCATGATATGCACGATTAATGCTTCGATTTGTCGAATCTGCGTTGCAAATATTCCCAACTTCTACATGTTCTTTATCATATCGTATAAAAAGCAGTTTTATTACATTAAATAAGAGAAATGATTGTATAGAAAACAACACGCGTTATATGCAAGTAAATACAAATATCTGAATCCGTGGATGTATCGAATCAAGTTAATTGATTATATTTATCTGGATTAACCAAACGAACATTTACTATCGACAAGGAAAACATCGATCGAGTGTTCTGTATCGACCATAATCGATATTTTCGTGATCTAGATTTGGTCTTTCTATCGTCGGTTCAACTCGATGCCGTCATTGTCTTTCGTCGTTCGAAATTATCTTTTTCACTAATTGAAAAATCGGCAGGTATCTTATACGAAGGAAAGTACATTCACACGTAGTATAGGATGGAATCTCCTCAATGCATCTATAATATTTCATTAACATGTACACGAGCGATTAATAGACTTGTCCAAAAATATGCGTACATGTGATCGATCATTTATCTACGCGTGAAAACATTAAAACAATTTTGTTTACATTCATTCCATCTCATTTTGTTTACTCACGACTGGTACACGGATACGAAAAATGATTAAGTCCCTTTTTATCATAAAAGTTTCTTGTATTTCTCATTTCTCTCTTATGTATATTCACAAAGGACAATTACATCTTACTTAATAACATATTTTTCGTCTAAATGTACTCTTATGTCAATAATAGTCATCGATAGCAATGATCAGTTTAAATTACTCTATCGCTTATCGTCTATAAATCGCTACTAAACTCTAAGCATACGGTGTGTGTATTTGTTGTACGTGTGTATCTGTGTTCTGTGTGTCTGCCCTTTTTTATCATGTGTACGTGTGCGTGCTGTGTATACGTGTTGTGTGATTTCTCATCGCTCAAAAGCACACCCGCGTTTTCGTTTTTTTTTTTTCAATTTTTTTTTTCTTTTTTTGAGTTTTGTTTCTCCATTAATCCACGTGCATTTCGTCGTTCTCGCGTTTCAGTCGATCGATCGAAATCAAAATGCACGCCGATCGATGTCTGACATTTTATGGTTTGTCACACTTCTCTTTTGTTGTCGCCTCCCTAAACATAATACCGAGAACTAAAAAACATGGAGTGGAAAAAGAAACAAGAAAAATAATAATAATACAATATAATAATAATAATAATAATAATAATATTAATAATAATAATTAATAAT